ATACACATGGACCTCATCAAATGGAATACACAGGAATAAAATTGACTGCTTCTGGAAAGAGAAAGTGGAGAAGTGGCCAGGACCAACTGCAGAACAAACTTATCAGTTGCTCATATGCAAGTTGAAGTTGAAGCTAAAAAAAGTTAAAACAAGTCAACGGGGCCAAAGTATGACCTTGAGTATGTCCCTCCTGAATTTAGAGACCTCTCAAATTGGAGACCAGACAATTATGTTGTGTGATGACATCAAGGACGTTATATGTGAAGTGAAGTAAGCAAAACATCATTAAAATTTCAGGGGGAAATAAGACCAAAATGGATGTCAGAAGAGAGTCTAAAATTTGTTCTTGAACACTGGATAGCTAACGTGAATAGAAAAAGTATAAACTGAAAAAGCTGAACAGGAGGTTTCACAGGGCAGCTCAAGAAGACAAAGAAAAGTCTTCTAATGAAATGTGCAAAGACCAGCAGTTGAAGAGCCACGAGGGAAGAACACGCTCCGCATTTCTCACGCTGAAAGAACTGAGGGAAACGATTCAAGCCACGACCTTGCAATATTGAAGAATTTTATAGGCAAAATGGAATCATGGTATAGTATTGTAGAGTAAGCATTGGACTGCTAACCACCAAGTCAGTGGTTCAAACCCACCAGCTGCTCCTCAGAAACCCTGGGAGGACCCTGTGAGTTGGAACTAACTTGACAGCACTTTGATAACAAAAACCACATTGGCCAAATATTGAATGAAGTAGGAAGCAGCAAAAGAAGATGGGAAGGAATACAGAGTTGTTGTTCTGAGTGGCTTCCAACTCAGCCACCCCTGTATAGGATTTCTGAGGAGCAGCTGGTGGCTTTGAACTGCCAACCTTGTCGTTTGCAGTCCAGTGCTCATCCCACAGTGCCACACTAGGAGTCCAGAGTTACTGTTTACAGAGTTACTGTACCAAAAACAATTGGCCGACAACCAACCATTTCCGAAGGGGTAGCACATGATCACGAGCAGCGGGATTGGAGGAAGAAGTCCAAGCTGCACAGCAAGCACGTGACTTGAAAAACCAGTCCTGCTGCCATGGAGTCAGTTCTAACTCCTAGTGCACCTGCAGGACAGAGGAGATGTGCTCCATAGGGTGTCCACAGAGAGAAAGCTTTAGGGAAACAAACACCCTCCCTCAGCTTTTTCCCATCCAGCTCTGGCTGTGTTTGAACCACCAGCCTTGCAGTTAGCAGCCCAGTGCTTACCTCACTGCACGCCGGGGCCCCTGGAAGTCACAGAATGCCCGTTGAGATGTGTTACTAAACAGATGCAATCCTAGAAGCACTCATTGATTTCTGCCAAGGAATTTAGAAGACCAAGCAAGTGACTGGAAAACACCCATTCCTACTCCAAAGAAAGGTGATCCAAAAGAATGTGGAAATTATTAAACAATATCATTACTGTTGTTGTTGTTGTTAAGTGCTATGTAGCCGGTTCCATAGAGACCCTGTCTAGGGTTTCCGAGGAGATACTGGATGAGTTTCAACCACCATCCTTGTGGTTCAAACTGACCTTGCTTATCCTACAGTGCCACACCAAGGACTCCATCATTAAATTCTCTTCAACAAAATTGTACTTGCATGTAATAATAATGGGAATATTCATGCAAGTAAAATTTTGCTGAAGATAATTTAAAAACAGTTGCAACGCTATCTGACAGGGGAACTGCCAGAAATTCACTGGATCCAGAAAACTACGTGGAATAAGGGATATCACTGCTGATGTCAGAAGGATCTTGGTAAAAGCAGAGAATATCATAAAGATTTTTGCCTGTGTTTTATGACTTTGCAAAGGAGTTTGTGTGGATCATGACAAATTGTGAATAACGTTGCAAAGAATGGGAATTCCAGAAGGCTTCATTTTGCTCTTGCAGAACGTGTATGTAGACCAGTAAAACAAGGGGATGCTACATGGCTTAACGATGTGATCAAGGTTTTTTTCTTTCACCATACCTATTCAATCTGCATGCTGAGCAAGTGAGCCAAGAAACTAAACTAGATAAAGAGAATGCAGCATCAGGATTGGAGGAAGACTCAGCCTTGCTTGTTGAAGCCAAGAGGAATTGAAATCCATACTTCACTATGGATTGCACCTCAGTGTAAAGAAAGCAAGAGTCCTCACAACTGGACCAATAAATGACATCCTGATCAATAGAGAAAGATTTTGTGGTCAAAGACTTTCATTTTGCTTGAATCCACATTGCTCAGGAAGCAGCAGTCAAGAAACCAAACAACATACTCCACTGGGCAAATCTGTTGCAAAAGACTTCTTTAAAGTGCTTTCAAGCAAGACTGCCACTTTGAGGACTAAGGTGGACCTGATCCCAGCCATGGTATTTTCAGTGGCCTCATATCCATGTGAAAGCTGAACAGTAGAAGCATCCATGCATTTTAATGATGGTGTTGGTTAAAAAAAAAAAAAAACAGTACCATGGACTGTCAGAAAAACAAGTCTGTCTTGGAAGAAGTATAGCCGGACTATCCCTTAGAATTGAGGATGGTGAGACTTTGTCTTAACCTATTTCAGCCTTGTTATCAGGAGAGACCAGTCCCTGGAAAAGGATATCACGTTTGATAAATGGAGTGTCAGTGAAAAAGAGGAAGACTCAAGTGAATTACTTATTTGAGGAGACTTTTAAAATTCATTTTTAGTTTTATGAGATATTCATTTCCTCATAAAAATTATTGTTTATCCATGATCTGTGGTGAAGGACCAGTTGTTTTATTATTTCAAATCTGGTCACAAACCTGTAACTTCTGTAAAATACTATCAAAATCAGTTACTAGAAAAAAAAAGACGATACACAAAATACAGGCTGCTCATCCCATTGTAGAGGGTAGCAAACAGCGTGGAAGGCAGTGCTTGGAGCAGCACTGTTTTCTCCTAGAACGAGGACACACCTAATGTAAGCACATTATAGGAGAGTCCAACCAGCCTCCTCAGTCCTGTGGATCTGTTCTTCTATTATAGGTCCACGTTTGAGGATAAACTTGACTAGGATTGCCTATGCTTTTAAATGTACTTTAAATCTGAGTTGGAAATAAGTAAGAGGGGTTACCATTCTCCCCAGGAAAGGGTAAAGATGGTCAAGTTAAAATACTACCCTTTTCCATTGAGGTATCCTGTTGGCTACTGCTGAAGGGCTTCCTCTGATCCACCTCTCTCCCCTTCCTAAGGTGCTTCACACATGGTACACAGTCTGCATTTAAAAGCTTTATATTTGACTACCTGGGGAAATCATTTCTGTTTCATCTGATTTGTTTTTTGTTCGCTCTTTAATGATTTAAATGCTTTTTCTCCTAGTTCCGGGATTACTGTGCTATCTGTTTACGGTGGGAATGGCCGGGGTCTCCCAAAGCGTTGGAAAAGTGCCATTTAGAAGCAGCTTTCTTTGAAGGCCATTTTTTGAAAGTGTTATTTGACAGAATGGGAAGAATTCTTGATCAGGTAATACGTTTTTAGATCCTCAGTTTTCTCTCATTTAGTTACCATTCATCAGGGGCTCATTGCCAGCCTTAGTTTAGAGCTGCAATAAAATAGCCTTATTGCTTTCCTTGTTCTTGCACTCGAGTACTCCTCCATAAAAACAATCCCAACACCTGCTGGGTTCCCGCTACACTGAGTGTATTGAGAGCATTTACCGAGCCTGGCAGCTGTTAGAGAATTGTGTTGTTTCTCTTCTTGTCACAGGCCCTTGTCTTCCTGTCCTTTGCAATTATAGGAGATGGCTACAGTGCTTTCCTTTGATGGCTAACAGTAGATGCAGTAAAGCTTTGTAAGTTCAATTCAGAAGGCCTTAAATGTCATTTCAAATGGACTCTTTGTTGTTGTTGTTAAGCGCTGTCGAGTCGGTTCTGACCCATAATGACCCTGTATAGGGTTTCCAAGGAGCAGCTGGTGAGCTTGAACCACCAACCTTGCAGTTCAGACGGCTTTAGCAGTCTGTCACATTAACCCACAGCACCACACCAGCTGTTACAGCTACAGAACCGAGTATTAGACTAACCATCTTCAGACGAAGAACCCGTGAGTGACACTCATCTTCATCATAAAGGGGAAGTAAAATTAAAATACAAACAAAACCAAAAGGTTGATTTGTCTATTCAGAGATGGGTTACCATCACCGTTAGCTAATCTGTTGCTCTATGATGCCAAAGCGGGTTAAGCATGGGCTGCTAACCACAAGGTTAGCAGTTCAAACCTGTCAGCTGCTCTTTGGAAGAAATGAAAATTTCTGCTCTTGCAAAGATTACAGGCTCAGAAACCCTAAGGATCAGTTCTCCTGCGTGACTAGGAGTTGGAATCCACTCAGCAGTGGTGGGTTTACTAGGAAATGCATTTGGGGTTATGGACTCCCTCCCTCCTTCTCTTGGAATCTACATGTGAAAGAAAATGGTTCCGGACAATATTTGCTTCAACACAGAGATGACCGTGAGTGAACCAGTTTGGAATTGGTTACAGCAGTACATCGACAGGGAGCTGTCAGAAATCCAAGCCAGATTCAGAAGGAGCTGTGGAATGAGGGGTATCATTGCTGACGTCAGATGCATCTTGGCTGAAGGCAGAGAAACGTTTACTCGTGTTTTATTCACTGTGCTAAGGCATTCAACTATGTGGATCATAGCAAACTATGAATAACCATACAAAGATCGGGTATTCCAGAATGCTTAATTGTGCTCATGAGGAACCTGTACAGAAATGAAGAGGCAGTTGTTTGAACAGAACAAGGGCATGCTGAATGATATAAAATCAGGAAAGGTGTGCATCAGTGTTGTATCCTTTTACCGTACTTATTCAATTTGTATGCTGAGCAAATGATCCAAGAAGTGTATTACATGAAGAAGAATGAGGCTTCAGGACTGGAGGAAGACTCATTAACAACCTGCAATTTGCAGATGATACAACCATGCTTTCTGGAAGCAAATAGGACTTAAAATACTTACTGATGAAAATCAAAGTCTACAGCCTTCAGTATGGATTGCACCTCAATGTAAAGAAAAGGAAAATCCTCACAACAGAACCAATCAATAACATCATGATAAATGGAGGAAAGATGGAAGTTGTCAAAGACTTCATTTTACTTGTATCCACCATGGACACTCATGGAAGCAGCAATCAGATCATCAAACACTACAGTACATTAGGCAAATCTGCTGCTAAAGACCTCTTAAAAGTGTTAAAGATGTTAGTTTGAGGACTAAGGTGTGCCTGACCCAACCATGGTATTTTCAATAGGCTCATGTGCATGTGAGAGTAGGACACTGAATAAGGAATTGATGCATTTGAGTTATGGTGTTGGAGGGGAATAACAGAAGACCAGAAGAACAACCAATCTATCTTGGAAGAAGTATAGTCAGAAAGCTTCTTAGAAGCAAGACTTTGTCTCTTGTAATTTGGACATGTTGTCGGGAGGAACCAGTCCCTGGAGAAGAACAGAGTACTTGTTAGAGGAAGGAAGCCCCCACCCCCCACCCCAGTAAGATGGCTTGACACAGTGACAGCAATAATGAATTCAAACAGCAACAATTGTGAGGATGCCATGGGACTGGGCAATGTTTCAATGTGTTGTGCTTTGGGTCACTATGAGTTGAAACAGACTCAGCAGCACCTAACAACAACAGGAAGTGGGAATTAATTTTAAATTATGTATTCAAATACTAGTTCTTCTTTAGTTTGTTAGTATTTATGCCAGTATGGGGTTATGACAGTAAAGTACTCCATAAGCAGGTCATCGTCAATAACCAGATTACAGCTTCAGAAACCTTATGGGGTAGTTCTGATCTGCCCCATGTTGGGTCTGTTAAGGGTTTCTGAGGAGTGGCTGGTGAGTTTGAACTGCTGACCTTGCACTTCAAACCGACCTTTCAGTCCAGTGCATGTCTTATTATAGGGTCACTAAACGGCAGAGGGGTTATTTGTTTTGATGTGAATAGAAACCAACTCCACAGTGTATGGCAACAGTGTAGGTATTATGGTTTAGACGCTGTGGATGAGTTAACCTTCTAGAAAATCCATGATTTACCAGTTTTTGTTTTTGTACTGCTTTACTAGACTTAGTTTGAATCTAATGAAGGTGATACTAACAATCAGTATCAATTAGTAATCATCAGAAATTTGAGTAAGAGCAATATTGTGTTCCTATCTGTACCTTTCCCTTTTCTTTAGCACAGAAAGAGTTCATGATGGTTTTCATTCTTGATTTTCCCATTTAATTTGTGATAGATGATGAATTACTAAATTTGGAGTGTCATATTCCACCACTGGGTATTGCTGTTTGCTGTTACATACTGTGGAGTCGGTTCTGACTCGTAGTGACCCTGCACAGGGTTTCTGAGGCTGTAAATCTTTATGGAAGCAGAAAGCCTCATCTTTCTCCCATGGAGTGGCTGCTGGGTTCAGACTGCTGCTTAGTAGCCCACTATGCTCCCAGGGCTCCTTCATCACTTACATTAGCCCTTCTTTTTTCTGCAACGGTACCGTTGACTGGAAGGAAAACATTTTCATTAGCTTTCTCTGACAGTACTCTTTCCCTCTGTAGTTTTTCACTTTAAACTGGTTTTCTACTCACGAGTGGGAAAATGTAGACTGAATGAATCGCAAATGGCACACACCAGCCGGCCTCGCAGTTCCTTCTGCGCAGTGCTGAGAGAGACACTCGCAAGCTCAGTGCCCTGGCATGATGCGTGCAGTTTTGCATGTCAGTTGATTTTAAATGTACCTCTTGTTTGCACAATTTTCAGAATTAAAAAGATAAAATTGGTGGTTTATAGTCCTAGCCAGTGGTTTGCTCTCCTTCAGTGCTAACTGCCCTGTACCCTGCTTCAAGAGGGATCCAGTCAATTCTGTGCACGTTTTGTAGGGAAGTATTTATTACTAATATTTTAGGAAATCTTTTTCATTTTCTCTGGGTTGTGCAAATCTTGATTGGTGTTACTGAAAATAGTGCAAACATTATTTCCTTCCTGAGGATGGGGGTTTCTTCCTTTTTTTGTTTGTGTGTGTGTGAGGTGGAGGAGAGGGTGGTTTATGTTAAACGTTTAGTGCTTTGGGATTCCTTTTTGGGCTTCATTTTAAAAGTAGGTTTTGAATTGAATTGAAAGATACTCTCTGAAGTTCCATTATACTTTGGCTTTTTTTTTTAAATCCTTTAGTTTATTGAGTGCTGACATAAAAGTAGACACAGAGGACAGAATATAGTGAAATGCTTAAAATTCTTTTTTTATATTTCACCAAATAGCATTTCACAGCACAGTGTCATAATCAGTCATTCTTCCTGTAACTCTGTCTAAAAGGCAAGGTGCATTCCTCCTGTTCTTTCTTAGGAATCTGAGATCTTGAATCTCAGTTATGTGATGTCTTCCTGCCAATACAGAGCCCTAGTCCTCTTACTTTATAAATCAGAGACCCTTCATCTCAGTTACATGATTTATATACAGTTTGTAGGCCGAAGAGCCCAGCCTTAGTTCAGTTGTCTTTAAAAATCTTTGTCTTTTTCAAACCTTTTTTGCTAAGAATGTTTTATTCCAATCTCAAAGATAATGTGTGCGTCTGTGTACTAAGCGTGTTTGCTCTTGTTTTAATTTCTTTCTTCCCTAAATGTTTCTGCTGGTGATAACATTTGCTTGCTTTTCTATAATCCTTGACAGGACCAGGGTAACCAGGCAGAGATTAAGCATTTACGGCAGCTAATTAAAGAATCCCAGGTGGTACCATGGGTTAAATGCTGGGCTAACCACAAGGCTGGCGGTTCAAACCCACCAACCACTCTGGGAAAAAGATGAGACTGTTCCCATAACGATTTCCAGTTCCAGAAATCCTGTGGAGCAATTTTACTCGGCCCTGTAGGGTTGTGATGGCTCAGAATGGACTCAATGGCAGTGGGATGAATAAATTAGTTAATTTCTGCAGGTGTAATTGAAATTGTACAACTGTATTGTGGAGTCCTGCTATAATGCAGTAGAGGTAAGGGCAGGACTACACGGTCGGTTTGAACTACAAGGTCGGCAGTTCAAACTCATCAGCCATTACTCAGGAACCCTATACAGAATCACTATGCATTGGAGTCAACTCAACGACACTTGTCAACAACATTATATTGTCACATGTTAGCTTAACAAGACTTCATAGCAAAAACATTTAGTATTGCTTGTAACTAGTGATTTCAGATAGTAAAATGTCAAATCCATAGCAAATGTAAAAAATGTCAGGAGAGCCAAGTTCTTGTTCCCACCCAGATACTGAACAATTTGAACCTGAGTAAGTTAGTTAGCCAGTTGTCTCATTTTGATGCTGGTAAAGTGAAGTTGGGATGAGGTAGCTCCGAATGATAAGCACTGGACTGCAAACCACAAGGTCAGCGGTTCAAGGTCACCACCTGCTCTGCTAGAGAAAGATGAGACTTTCTGCTCCCTCAGGGATTTAAAGCTTCGGAAATCCTATACTGGGTCACCATGAGTCAGAACCAACACAACAGCATTTAACAACAACAAAGTGAAGTTGATATTATTTGTTCTGACTTTCTCCCTAGATTTACTTATAATAAGTAAATGAAATAAGTCATTTAAAATATCTTAAGATAAACAAATGACTAAGTGCAAATGTTACTAGATATTTCAGAAAATAGCAAACTGAAGATTTCATGGAGATCTTAGGTAGACCATTGGCCTAGTTAGCTTTGAGTAGAAGGCTTGAGCTTGAGTTCTGGTGACATGAGTATGCCTTCAAGTCAACGTTTGCCTCAAAATTCACTTTTGATTCAATGTGCACTCAGGCCAAAAAATGAGTCACGTATGTCAGAGAATTATCTCCTTCAAAAAGGTCATTAAGAAGACAAGTAAGCAAAAGACCAAAATGGCTGTCAGCAGAGACCCTAAAACATGCTCTCCAGCTTAGAGATGCTAAAGCAAATGGCTTGTGTCTGCTTCTGTGCTGACCTTTGGCAGCAGGCCCGGTAATGAAGGATTTGACCTGTTCCTGGTATCAAACCTCATCCCACCTCCTGGCTTGCAGTCCAGGCTCCATCACTGATCAGCTGTGAGACTTCAGATACTAACTTGACCTCCTGAGCCTCAGCTCTTCGTCTGTAAAATGGGGTGGCACCATCTTCCTCAGAGGGTTACTAAAAGGCTTCAGTGAGGAGGCTGTGCGTAATACCACCTGATACCAAGCAAGTATGGGATGAATTGCAGACCCCCAGCAAGTTTCTCAAAACCCCTCAGTCTCCTGAGCCTTGAATCATATATGATGGAACAGACAGGCCTTAGCAGAAACTTCTGGACAAGCTTTCTAGGTGGTTCTGATGTACAAGAAAGCTTTCTTCATAGGGACTAGTCTTCCCCAACCTCCTGCATGCTGGCTCCAGGGGCCAGGTCTGCAATCTGGACTGTTGTTCCTGTCCACCCTGGTGAGACTGCCTCCTCAGATGTCCCCTCCTCACCAGCCTGGACTTCTGCTCTTGTACAAGGGAAAGTGGGAAATGGAATCGTCATGATTGCAGTCTCCTGTGCTTTGGACATGTTGTCAGTAGGGACCAGTCCCTGGAGAAGGGCATCATGCTCTCAGCATAGTGATGCTAAAGCAGACAGAGGAAACAAGAAGATTAAAGGGCTGAACAGAAAATTGCAAAGTAGAATATTATAATGAAATCTGCAAAGATCTGGAGTTAGAAAACCAAAAGGGAAGAACATTCTCAGCAGTTCTCAAACTGAAAGAACTGAGGAAAAAATTCAAGCTTCGACTTGCAATTCTGTAAGATTCTTTGGGAGAAATATTGAAGGTTGCAGAAAGCATCAAAAGAAGAAGGAAAGGATACACAGACTCAGTGTACCAAAAAGAAATGATCAATGTTCATCCATTTCAAGAAGTGGTTCAAGGTACACTGAAGGTACGGTGCAAAGAACAAGACTCTGGGAAATGATGGAATACAAATTGAAATTGTTCAACAAATTGAAACCTAGGCATAGCACTTGCTTATCTATGCCAAGTAATTTGTAAAAAAGAAACTGGCCAATTCATTGGAAAAGATCCATATTTGTGCCCATTCCAAAGAGAGGTGACCTGGCGGAATGCAGAAATCAACAGACAATATCATTAATATCACATGCAATAAGATTTTGCTAAAGATAGTTTAAAAACAGTTACAACATTACACTGACAAGGAACTATCAGAGGTTCAAGCTGGCTTCAGAAGAGGATGTGGAATGAGGGATATCATTACTGATGTCAGATGGATCTTAGCTGAAAGCAGAGAATACCAGAAAGATGTTTACCTGTGCTTTATTGACTATGCGAAGGCTTTCAGTTTTGTGGATCATGCAAGCTATTGACAACATTGTGAAGTATGAGTATTCCAGGACACTTATTTGTGTTCATGAGGAACCTGTACATAGACCAAGAACCAGTTATTTGAACACAACAAGAGGACACTGAATCATTTAAAATTAGCTAAGGTGTGTGCCAGGGTTGTATTATTTCACCATACTTATTCAGTCAATCTATATGCTGAGCAAATAATCAGAGACACTTTTATATGAAGAAAAACGTGGCATGAGGATTGGAGGAAGACTCATTAACAACCTGTGATAAGCAGATGATGCAGACTTGCTTGCTGAAAGTGAAGAGGACTTCAAATATGGATGACAATCAAAGAGCACAGCCTTCAGTATGGATTGTACCTCAATGTAAAGAAAACAAAAATCCTCACCACTGGACCAATAAATAATATAATGATAAATGGAGAAAAGTTTGAAGTTGTCAAAGACTTAATTTTGCTTCTATCCACTACCAGCACTCATGAAAGCTGCAGTCAAGAAATCAAGCGATGTATTTATTGCATTAGGCGAGTCTGCTGCACAAGACCTCTTTGAAGTGTTCAAGAGCAAAGACGTCAATTTGAGGACTAAAGTACATCTGACCCAAGCCATGGTATTGTCAGTAGTCTCACATACATGTGAAAGTTGGATAGTGAATAAGGAAGACTAAAAGAATTGATGCATTTGAGTTATGGCATTAGAGAGGAATATTAAAGGTACCACGACTGCCAGAAGAACAAATCTGTGTTGGAAGAAGTGCGACCAGAGTGCTCTTTAAAAGGTAGGATGGCCAGACGTTGACTCCCATACGTCAACATATTATCAGGAGTGACCAATCCCTGGAGAAGGACATGATGCTTGGAGGGATAGCAAGAAAGAGGGAGCCCCCCAACTAGATGGATGGGCACTAACAAGGGGCTGAAGCGTAGCAGCAGTTGTGAGGATAGTGCAGGACTGGGCAGTATTTCCTTCTGTTGCTGTGGGTCAGAACCATCCCAATGGCACCTGATAACAGGTGAATATATATATATATATATATATAGTGAAAATAAAGGGATCCCAAGTAGTAGATGGCATCCTGGTGTGGTGCTGTAGTATAAGCACTACACTGAAAGGTCAGTTTGAACTGCAAGGTCAGTGGTTCAAACCTACCAGCTGCTCCTCGGCCACCCTATAATAGGGTCTTTATGAGTAAGAACCAACTCAACAGCACTTAACAGCAGCCCCAAGTAGGAGGTATGAACACTTACTGTTGGCAACTTCCAAAAAGGTCAGTTGTTTTACAGTTGTTTACAGAACTAGACCCATTTCAGAGAATAGTGAAACCATTTCTGCTTTCCTGGAGTTTATTTTGATTTTCTCTTTAATTGAGAAATAATCCTGTGAATCTTAAATTTCTTAAACCAAGTCATAGACTTATGTTAAAATAACATTGAAACTTAGAGTAATGGCACATAGAGAAAATAAAAAGTTTAAGTGATAGTATATCCTTGTTTGAAGCCAAATTTTGTTGGTTTATTTGCATAATAACACCTTTGAATAACATCAGACTCTCAGCTATTGCTGTTGTTAAGTTCTGTCCAGTTGGCTCTGACTCTTCTGAGGAGCCAGCTGGTAGATTTGAACTGCTCACCTTGCGGTTGGCAGTCCAGTGCTGATCCTACAGTGCCACATCAGAGTTCAACACTCTCAGTTACACGCAGTGAAGAGTCTGGAGCAATTCTGTACTTAATGTTGTATTTTAAATTATTTTGTCCATTCTTTACCAAATGCATTGTTATAAGAGTTTTTCTTAATGTTTCTTTTGTGACTGAAATACCATATAAAGTGAATTTGTTGTTTGCTATTAAATTGAGTCTTTGAGTGAGTTATTCTATTGCAAATATCATCCAGAAAAAGCATATGCTTCTCAAACTCTCCTTTACTAAGACTGCACATCTCCTTTCATTTATGTTGCTTAAAGCTACATTTTGAATGAATAAATTAAGGGTAAAATCTGTGAGACTATAGTGATTAGAAAGATGAAAATTGGACTGGCAGCATTAGACTTGAAGTTTTGATGACCTGCAGAACTATTTCATTAATGAAAACACCCTACATAAACCCAAAATTCTGACTATGTAACTGTCGTATTTGTTTTTCCAATGATGAATTGAAAAAAATAATTCATCAGCGTCATACCAGGCATGCAAGGATGGTTCAACATTAGAAAAGCAATCAATGTAACAAACCACAGAAATTAAAAAATAATAATAGTAAAAGAACCACATGATCTTATCGATTGACACAGAAAGACATTTGACAAAATCCAACACTCATTCCTGATTTTTGTAAAGTGTTTTCTCTATGTTTAAATGCATTTTAAAAGTCTAAAGACTATATGATACTTTGACTAAGGTGATTAGAGCCGAGTTTAGTTGTAGATATTTTTGCTACAGAGAAGCAGATGGAGGGGGAGTGCTGTGGTGCAGTCTCCTTCCTTGGAACGTTGAGATGGTAAATTAAGTGCCTAGGTAACTATGTGCATTATAAAAACTGTCAGATGTCTTTTTCCCTTTAATCTCTCCATAGCCATATGATGTAAATCTCCAAGTGACCTCGGTGTTGTCTAGACTGTCCCTCTTCCCTCATCCACACATTCACGAGTACCTTTTGGATCCTTACGTGAACCTTGCTTCTGGCTGCCGATCGCTCTTCTCTGTGATTGTCAGGGTGAGTTCATAGTTTTGTTATATTCTCTAGGCTGGTTGAGCTTGTCCAATTAACATTTTTAAAGCATTGAATGTAGACAGTGCCACATAATGAAAAATAATATATCTGCTGCTTGAAAGTAAAAATGATGCAAGGTTGGTGGTTCATACCCACCAACCGCTCTTAGGAAAACCTATATGGGGCC